GGTAGCGTCTCCGCTTTTCCCCAACCTTTTGTTGGTCTTGCTGGATGTTCTGCATATTTGACCATGGTCCACAGACCGGTGCCATAAGGATGACATCAGGTGCTTGTTCCCTGATGATCTCCATGACCATGTGTCGTCCCTTGGATGTCATTACATCGAATCCTGTGCGGATGTCCACGGGAGTCCCAACCTTAAGACCTGATAGTGCACAGCATTGACTGAATCTGGCACTTCCTGCAAAGATCTCGAGAACGTGGATCTTTCCCTTACGTACACAATTCCAATGTGCTTGTTCAGGAATGGATGTGAGGTCCTCGACGAACATGTTCTCTGCTGGATGAGGTACTGCAGGTTTTGGAGTTGTTTTTCCCGCGATACGTAATGGCACTGAGGATCTTGGCTTAGGAGCTGGTGCGGATGATTCCTTTTTCTTGGTATCTACAGAGGAGCCTGGTTGCTCCTTCTGCAAGGATTCTCGCTCTTCAGGTAACAGAAGGGGTTTCCCCGGAGGGATGGTCTCATCCTTCCTGAGCTTCGTCATGTTACCTTGATGAGTCGAGTCCCAAGATCAAGTCCTACCATCGCTCCTTCAATGGAAATGACCTTTCCCTTTAGCCATATTCCTCCCTTGCTTCCATCGGAACGAATCTTGGATTTGTCTTCCTGCCAGTAAAATACCTTGTCCTTCACCTGAAGAGGCTTTGAACTCATTCGGAGATTTTGAGCAAGGTCTCGTCGGATGTCCTCGGATTGACGTGCTTCTTGGAAAGCTTGCTTTGACAGCTGCTTGATCTGGATGGCTGTCATCTCTTCTTCATTCCTGTCAATCGTCAACTGAGTTGGTGTTGCGACATCGAGTTGGATGAGATCTGCTGGTCGTCTTCCGAATGCGAGCTCCAATGGCGTTACTCCCCCATAGGTGACGGTCTGATTCCTGACAGTTGCAGCGGCCTTCACTAGCTGCCCGTATGTCACTTTCTTCAGTGTTGCAGGTGCAGTACCTGCTTTGATGGAACTTAGCATGATCTTGAGTTGCGCCTTCAGGAGTCGAACTGCTGCTTCAGCTCGATTTGGCCATGGTGTATTCGGTCCCAAGGATATCGGTGTGATGTCAAGGGACTGATAGAAATGTTCCCAAGTATCTGTCATGAAGGCTTGATCTGCGACAACTGATTTGGGCTGCAAGTGGTACTGGTCAAAATAGTTCCTGAGGACAGTGATGTTCTCGACTTCTTGCGTAGTTGTCACTGCCTCTGCAGTGAGCAATGTTGTTGCTCCATCCAGGATGACAAAAAACAATGATGTGTTCTCCTGTTCCAAGAGGAACTTGACAGTGATCAGTGAATGTCGTGTCACCACAGGTGTCCGCTCGAAGTCCGCTTGTCTTGCTTCGTGATGGTGCATGTTTTGCCACTTGGCAAACTTCACACTCACTTCGGATCTTGCCAAATAGATCGAATGTTGATTTCGGCAAATGAAGTGCTCGGGTTCTGAATCGAAATTGATCTGTTGTCATGTGATGATGCTGCAGGTGGAGTTTCTTCAACTCTTCGGGATTTGACAATCGCTTGTGGATTCTGCCTAGGGCAAGCGGAAGCGATGTTGGTTCTTCTGAGGATGGTGCGAAAGGATCTGGCTCAATAGTCGACCGGCCCCTCTTGTCGATGATCCTGTCTGCTGCCGATCCTGAACCTGCTTCTTCGTCCTTAAGCGAATTGTCCGAGAAGGTGAAAAGTCTTACCTATCCACAGGTTAATCATTGGTTTATTTGCCTGGGATGTAAGTCTCCAATTGTCTTCCAAAATGTCTGGATCTCCACCTGCGGATGCATCAATGATTTCCGTGGTACGTTCTCAGGATTGATTGGACATTCCTTGGCTCCATTTGGTGCGAACAGCGCCTTTCGGGGCGTGATGCGCACACGGATGAGCTGCTTGTTCTTCTTGTCAAGGATCCAATGGTCCTTCTTTTGAGACCCAATGATCTTAGGAGTTGCTAGGTCCTCCTTTGTCTCGGATGATTTTGCTGCACAAACAGTTTCGCTCTTGGTGAGATCCCCGGAGGGAAACTTGATGCTGTTATCATCGTCATAGACATAGTTGATGAGGCCCTTGTGAGCAATTTCTCCATGCGCCTTCACTCTTGCGACTCCAGCGAGATCGACGAGCGCATGTCCTGTACCGGATACTGGAACTGCTTGACGGTTCATGCCAAAGATCTTGTCACATTGAGGTGTGTGCTCGATGGTCATGTAGAGGTTCCGCATCTGGCTGATGCTGCGAAGGATCGGTACAGTTCCTTGCTCAAGGATGTCGATGTTGGTACTGCACGGAGGAGTTGTGTGATATCGAAGACGCAGGGCCCAATTTACCCTGGCGGTCTCTCCGTTTGCAAAAGTGAACTTGGTCTCGGCCGGGATGTACTCATAGGAGATGATGTCCTTCATTGGTTCGATTGCCTGGGTAAAACGCTGGATTGCATGCCAGCTGCCCATAGATCTGGTACATCCATTGTCCAGAATCGCATAGGTCGGGCTGCGCTGAGGGTTGATGACAGGCGCCATCAGCTTTGTTGCCAGAAGGCTGTGATTTGTTGTTACGGACAGATTGTGGTCTGAAACTGTATCTGATTGGATCAGCTTCTCGTGGATGGCCTTTTTCCCAGGATGCTCATATGCATCATGGAATGCCATTAACGCTTGTCCTGTGCTGAATGTCTCATGGGATGAGTACCAGCCTTGTTCATTCCATGTCCATGATTGATCCCAATCTTGGTCTATCCAACCGGCATAGGTAGGCTCTATGGATGGTGCAGTCAGCTGGATGGCGGGCTGCTCCTCCGTCTTTTCTGCGGCGGCTGCGAACGTCTTGGATTTTCCTTTCTCCTGCCCGCTCTTTCCTTTACCACTCTCATAGGATGGATAACCTTTGTTTCCATCATAGGGATATTGGAATTTTGATTTTCCTTTCTTCCCCTTCTTTCCCTTGCCTTCTCCCCAATATGCCTGGTCGTAGGGATCATAGTTTTCGTTGGCCATATTGGCCTTTCCGCCAGAACCGCTTTTTCTGAAGGGTTTAAAGCCACCTCGTTGGTGACTGCCCTTTTTGTTTCCTGATTTTCCTTTTCCTTTTCTCTTCTTGAACTTGAAGTTCCGCCCCGACACTTTTCTTGCTATGAACGCATCGTTCTCCTCGAGGACCCAGAACGTCTCTTCATCGTTGTTTGACATGAATCTTCAAGTCCTTCTTCATCCTCAACCCAGAAGCCTTCTTCTCCTTCGTATTCACCTTGTTCGCTGATGAAGAATGTGTTGCTTCGGCTGCCGCCTTGAGGTCGGATGGATGGATCTTGGATCGATGTCCTCGTCGTGATGAAAAGTTCATGGTAATGCGTCTTCAGCATCTCATAGGAATAATTTTCAAGTGAGATGTTTCTTAATGACATTGCACTTGTCAGTCTTTCTCGTTGCTGATCTGACAACTCACTTTGAATAATGAAAAACTGTGCAATGAGATTATCCCCGAAGGGAAATGCGCCCCGCTGTCTGTCCTGCATTCCTTGGATACACTGTCTGAGGACTGTCGGATCGTCCTCATTGAGCAGGGCTGGAGGCGGTGCTCGAACACCGGCTGCTTGCTGATGTCGAGCAATTGTTCTTGCATTTGCGTCCTGTACGGACTGTCGAAATGATGGAGACTGTGCCGCAAAGATTGGCATCAAGTCCATCCATGCTGCCTTCAGTCTCATAAGTAGGATTTCGAATTTTGAGGTAAAAATGAGGAACTCTTGGTTCTGCCTCCGATGATTGAAGAAACTGAGGAGTCTGTACAGATACACGTTGGTCGCACCTTTCAAAAAGTACTTCTTCAGCGTGTTCTTGAAATAGTTGACTCCTTCATCAGGATCTTGCAAAAGATCATTCTGGAGGACGGCCTTGTACATATAAGCATCTCCAGTGAGTCTGCTCTTAAGCAATGGACCTCGCTTGGATGCTTCTACTGTGGTGATGGTCACCCAGTCGTCCACGAGTTCCTCGTACCTGAACCAGCTGACTTTTCCGTCGCACAACGGCGGCTGATTGGCGGTCATCGATAAATTTAGTGTTTCCTCCGTATAGCTCGGCTTTGCCATACTTGTATAGGCTTCCATGAAGCCTTCTCCATCGGATGACATCTTCCCTTGGATCTCTGCGAAAAACCCGCTCCGCTACCACAAATTGAGGCCCACTGCCCCAGGTGCCCATCCCCGGAGGGAACTGGAACCCTGTGGTAGTTGAGGTCGTTGTTGGTCCCTGGATCTATTCCGGAGAGAATCCAATATGCCAGTGTGGATGATTGGAGGATGGATTGTCCCTGGTGGATTGTCTTGTGGATAATCCTGTAAGCGGCCTGCTGAGGCTCTTTTGTCACACGCTATCACGGATGATTGTGATCTACAAAAGGGGCCCTTGAGCCAAATGTTGCGGGATATCAATGGTCTGAAAAACAGAACACAGGGGGGGGTTCACGGCCTGGAACATATATGTATGTACAACAAAAGAAGAAAAATAAACAGCGGACGGTGGGGAGGGGGCGGCAGCCCCCCGCCATGATGTTCCAAGAAGTGCATACAGACAGACTGACAAACTGACAGACAGACAGACAGACAGACAGACAGACAGACAAACATACGTGCATAAACAGAAATCTGCAAAAACACTTGCGGGGAGGACTGCATATGCTGCCACAGCCGAGATGTTACGAAAGGCAGCAGGAACCAACGAAAGGCTGCAAAAGCCACCTGCCTTAGAGAAATTTAGGAAAAGAAAGGAATTGAAAAGCCAGAGCCGCAAAAACCACCCCAAAAGCCGTGGAAACCGATAAAACCGCAAAAAGCCAAAAAGCCACCTGCTGGAGAGGAAGTGCAAAGTAGAGGAATGCAGATGCAAAAAGCCAAGAAGCCTGGAAGCCAAAAACGAAAACAGATGCAAAAAGAAGACCGCTCCGCTCCGAAATGCGGTCCTGACTGAGTTGCTGCGCATCAGGCCTCGGTTGCTTCCTCAGTGCAGCTGCGGTGCCAGCGGTACCCGAAGATGGCCCTGCCTTGTCTCTCCAGACTATACCTCTGTGAAACGCTCCAGTCTCTAATCTCGATGCGCCCAAGGCCCGTGCCACGAAGCGTTGCGGCTAGGCGCATCACCTACCCGAGACTCCGAGACCCCGACGCAAGGCTCAGCTCGAGCAGCTCGAGCTGCTCGAATTGCGAGCATCGAAAAGGACGGCTCTGAATTTCAGACGCTCTCTTGGGGCCGCGGCCGCTGCCGCTGCGGTCGCGCCGCTCCATACGCTCCGTGAGCCGGCGCTCTGTGAGCCGCCGGACCAGCCTGAGCCAAACTTGAAGATTTGAAGCGAACTGCACCGTCCCAAGCCAGGGCGCGTCTGTGGCTTCAGCCGGCGGCGCACTGGACTGGGAGCTTCCTGCCACGTCGACTGACTCAAAGAGACTCAACTGACTCGACTGACTCGACTGACTCGACTCCTCCGTGCCCTCCATGGTCCAATACTCCATGTCACATCGAAACTCCCCGATCGGGGTGGTGACCTCAAGGCCCCATGCGAGCCATGCGAGCCATGCGAGCCATGCGAGCCTGCACAACTGCCGGCTCTCCGTCGATGAAATCACGCAAAAGGTTGCTCCGCAGCACATCGTGCCTAGCAATGACCTTTGCCGGACACCTCTCTCGGCAGACAAGACAGCAATTTTTCTGAGGCGGCAGCTCGCTCCACGGCAGAAGCCAAAGCGGCTCGGTCGATGGCTCCCTCCAGCCTTCCACAGTCTCAATGCTCTCCATGCTCGCATGCTCCAACCCCGTGTCGGAGTCTGGTCTCACCTCAGTAAGAGAGGCGAGTTGTAGGCGGCACTTCCTGGCTGCAGCTCCTGAAGCACCAGCCTTGCTCGAAGGCCACACCAACACCCAACACCCAAGTCAGCAACTTTGTTCATTCCGCGCCAAGCAGCATATGCTCTTGCCCCAGGGATGCTGGCATGAGGCCCTCCAGCGGAGCTGGACCCAACGGCATTACCTGGCAGATTCAGCCTTTTCTCAATATCCACATTCCAATTGCCGTTGATTCCCTCCCTTTCTCTTCCCGGCTCTTCTCTCTCTCCCCAATTCCCCCTGTCCATTTCTCCTTCCCTTTCTCCTTGCGATTCTCCGTACTTTTCTCTCTTCGGTCGCTGCCCTCCAACACACGAACCCCACGAACCCCACGAACCCCAGGAAACCCACGTCTCCGAGTCTCTCCGAGTCTCGCCTCGCGGGTCTGGGACAGCACCTGCGCCAGGCTGGCCACGTCCGGGCGCGCGTAGACCTCCTCGAACTGCAGCTCCCGCGCCTCGCGAACGGAGAAACATGACAAAACGACATGGACGCCGAAACAGCGCATGAATCAATGAAGCTTCATGGACAATGTGGACACAAAAGACATGAGACGAGGCTCTCTCTCTGGAAGTCTCTCTGCTTGCCTCCGGCACTTGCGACCGCAGCGAGGAGAGCAGCGTGGCCGCCTTCAGCGAGGTGCCGCCCAGCCTGGCACCGACCGCGCCGACCGCGCCGATCGCGCCGACCGCTCGGGGCTCGGGGCTTGGGCGCGAAGAAGTCCGCGTGGATGGAGGTGCATTTGGGATCTCGCCTCAGCACCTGGAAGCTTGCGGAAGGATACACTCGGTGATATTGCCACATGTGGAAGGGCACGAACATGGAGCAAGTTACGTAGGCATTGCGACAAATCCGCAGCCAGGCCTGACAAAATGCCTCCAGGATGGCTGTCTCCAGTGGCGTCCTAAAGAAAAAGAACAGCAAGGATTCAAAGGCACTACAACGAGCAAGTAAAAATCGAGTGTGTGTATATACGTGTATGTGAAAAGGAAAATCAAAAAGGTAGAAGGGAGGAGCCATGTGAGCGGCGCCTGGGCGCCACTGTGTCCTCGGCCCGTCTCTCAAGAGCAAAGCCCGATGCCCATGCCCGGCCTGGACAGAAATGGTAGGCACCGGCAGCGCTTTGCGGTCCACCTCTCGGAAAGTTGATTGAGTCGAGTCAAGAACTTCCAAATGGCACACAAACAGAAGGCGCCTTCCCCGTGCGTCCTCGCGGCCACTCCTTGACCACCACTAGCTCTGGCCACATGTACCTGGTGCACATCGTGCCGTGTGGCGTCTTATGCGTCTTACGATATTGTGCCCAGCAAATGCCTCGGTAGTCGCTGCCGTGTCTTCTCCACCTACCATTGGGACCATTGACAGGCAGGGACGACTATGTGTGCAACGCATGCGCAAGACCACAAGCAATCAAAGCCACAGGGCTCCCACGCACTCTCGAACAGCGTCACCTTCCTCCACCCCCTGCATGATGCCATGCTGTCGCACGCTCTGCTTACACCATCGACCTGCAGGATAGAGACGTAACCAATCAGCCGGTCGCCATGGACCAAAGCCACTGCCTCGCGCGCGCATGGCCAGTCCGAAGGCCCAAGTCTCCCCACGCAAATCCGCAACCAAAACACATGGAGCATACCACACAGCATACTACACAAAAATACTACACAAAAATACTACACAAAAATACGGCACCGGAGGCACACCTCTGTGACAGCCGGCGCTGAAAGCAGCGTCTCTTCTACTTCTCCAAGCTCCACTCGCTGCCCGCGGAGCTTCACCTGCGCACGGGATCTCGATGGATCTTGATGGATCTCTCCAGGTTCCGATCGTTCCGATCCATGTCCATGTTCGGTGCCTGGTTGTCCAGGCGGCCGACAAACTCCAGGTCGTCCTCAGGAAAGGATGCGCCAAGTGCGCAAAGCCGTGTCCAGCCAAGCCTGGCAGTATCTTCCCACATCGCCAGTGAGGTATAAGATTGGACCGCTCTCAGGAAACACGTCCAGTATGGCCTGCACGTCAAGCTGACGTCAAGTGTCTTGCAATGTGCGTGTTGTACTTCTCACACGCGTTGCGCATGCAACTGCTGCAAAGGCCTTGGGTGTTTTGATGAACTTGGTTTTAGTCTCTTGCGGCAGATGCAGGTAGCCACTTGCCAGCCCCTGCGAAGACCGTCACGCTCGAGACTTCTCCAGGGAATATCCGGTCCTCGCCCATGATCCCGATCTGACCTGCTCGGCCGACTGCTGGCCGAAGCTGAGGATCCAGAAGCAACACCTGCCACGGTTTGGGGAGTCCATCGAATCCCAGAAAAACGACACTGCAAGCGCCATGTGTTTTGCGGTATTCTGTTCTGACCGTGCCCGGAATTCAGGCAAGTCCAGTGTGCAGGGTCGCACCATTCCAAGCCTGCAGTTGCCAGGCTTGTGAGATAGAGAAACACTTGCGGCAGAATCAAACTTGCTACCTGAGGTGAGACAATGAGACCAAAGGACCAGACACCGCGAAACCCGCATCGGCTCTCAGCTCTCAGCTCTCAGCTCTCAGCTTTCTCGAAGTGGTCCTGGTACACGCTCTTGATGGGGAGGCGCGGGCTGGTGGTTTCTTCGCCACCGAGGCGCCTGGAGATGTTCGAGAGCCAGTGCTCGGTGTTCCACGTCCCGTTGGGGAGGGCCACGTGACGGAAGCTCTCGAGATGCGGGTCCTTCTCCGGCGCCTGGCCGTGCCGGAAGTCGTTGCGGTACGTGGACTCCTTCACCAGCAGCCGCGCCCCGTACACCGGGAGGCCAGCCTGGCCATCCAGCCCATCCCGGCCATCGCCCACGCCGGGGCTCCCGGGGCTCCCGGGGCTGCCGGGGCTGCCGGGGCTGCCGGGGCTAGGGGTCCCCCCAGACCTCTCCCCTGGGCCGCTGAGATCAGCGGGGCGCTCTACGCCCGGCTTGCCGCTCTTCAGCGCCATCCGCGCCGCATTGGAAGCCAGGAACCGATCCGGGAACTCCTCCATGTCATGGCAGTGCGCCAGACGATAGCTGGACTTGTAGGCCTCCTGAGACCAGTAGTCCGTCATCCTCTCAGGGGTCCTTTGGAGCCAATACTTGCGGCAATCGCAATCGCACAGCAAGGAAGCGCATGCGCAACGGCAAGCACGAAAATTACCGCATGCCGCGCCGCATTGGTATCGGCCTGATGCCAAGAGACGGGTCGTCCAATGGGAAGGGTCTGCACCTCACTTCTGCCGTCTGAACGCTTCCAATGTGGCACAGCCGGGTCCAAGACGTCTGCAGGGACTTTGCCGATTTTGTCAACCTGGATTCTCTTTTGCAAATGCAGGCATCCCCGTGTCCAGCGCGCGCCTCGTAGATGGTTGCTCCGATGCCAGCTTCTGAGGGCCCGTAGAAGTTGTTCAAGGAGAGAGGCGCCTAAGGCCACTAGCGAGCATCAAAGAGTCAAAGAGTCAGGCAACTGCTCACCTCCAGGATCCTTCGCGCCAGGCTGAGGGAGCAGGCCTGTCCAAGATGGTCCATGGTCCAAGAGCCGCAAGACTCTGCCCCGAGCCTCGCCCACCACAGCCAAGGATCGCAAGCTTCGCGGCAGGGCTTGGTGCTCCAGGATTTCCTCGGATCGAAATTTCGGATTGCGCGGCAAGTGCCGCGGTGCCGCGGTGCCGCGGTGCCGCGGTGCCGCGGAATGTGGAAGGTGGACGTGGGACGTGGGGCGCATGTCCGAAGCCAAGAGGCCGCCAGCAAGGAGGGCACGAAGAGCGCATGGCTGACGCGGTGCTCGTCGATCAGCGAGGAAATGTACTGGAAGTCCTAAGGAAGCGCACCGGGAGGGCCTCTGATTTCAACGCGAACATCCGAACATCACTTCAATTCGAAGGGCAATATGGGTCATGTTGTTGGCCACTGGGGAGAGTTCATGCTCGTTTGGCCCCAGCCCGAACGGTCCTTGGAACCGTCCCTCTTGCTCATGACGACCGTGGCACCCGCCACCAAGGCAGGCCAGATCTCACAGACGGGCCTTGGTGAGCCCCTTGCTCTCCCAGATCCCAGATGCAGATCCCATGTCTAAGCACAGCACGCATCGAAGGTCCAAGACGTGTGCTGCAAAACCGCCTCAAGCGCAGGCTGGACTCGCCGGCATAAGCTGAAGGATGCCGAAGGCCTGCCCGGGCTTGAAGTTGAAGTGCTTGCTGGTGAAGAGCACGTGCGCCAAAAGTGCCCGGTTGGATAGCAGCACACCTCCGAGTCGCTTGCCGAGTGGAACTGGGAAGAAAACATATTGGCACCCCGATCCGATGCCCGCCTTTTGGTCTGCCAGTCGAACCACCTCAGGCACCCGTCGGACGGTCAAGCTCCGGCGAAGAAGCGAAGACTGAGCGCCAGGCTGGTGAAAACCAGAAGTCCGTGCGCCTCCGAGGTCAGGTAGGGCCAGGGCTCTCTCCTTGCCCGCGGCCTGACCGAGCATATCAAAGTACAAAACGTCAGCACGTTGTGTACATTTACAACACAACATTCTGTTAATGCCTGAATAGTCTGGGTGTCTTTTGCTTTCATCTGGCAAGTCGATCAAATTTTGAGTCGCTTGTTCTCCGGGCCTGAGATCCTCCACCAGGATCAAGGGCCAGCCTAGAGAGTTGCCGACGGATTGGCTCTTCTTCTCTGTGACGATGCACTGCGGGGCCGCGTCCTGGGCCATTTGGTGGATGCGCTCCAGGGGGTGGGAGGCATCCAGCGCGAAGTAGCCGCAGCCCGCCATCCAGGCGCCCAAGGGCCCGGCCACCATCCAGGGCCCTGGCCGCACCATGAAGCCCACCAGCGGGTTCTCCCCACTCTCCACGCAGCTCTCCATGAGCGCCTGGTCAAGACGATGGTCCACGCGCCCAAAGTCCAGGTCACTCGAGTTGCGCCGGCCCTCACTTTGGTCCCGGCTGAACAGCCGGGACCGGCGGCCAACTCCGAGCTCGGCGCCGAGCAGCTCCGCGCGCCGCAGGATCTCGCCGAAGGTCACGGTGCCCTCGGGGCTGACCACGGCAAAGGCGCTGGGGTTGGCGCTGGCTCGTTGCGCCACCAGCTCCGGCAGGGACGTGGCCGGCAGCTCCCCGTGCACGGCCTGCCACGGGCTGATAGCCCGTTCCAGGTGCAAATCTGCGTGGTCCACGAACTGGATGTGGCCCACCAGCGAATCCGCATCGGATGCCACGACCTCCAGCAAGCGCTGGTACTGAGCCTGGAGCCGCAGCACGGTGTCCCGGCTGAACGCCGAGCTGTACTGGAAGTTTCCGATGAGGCGGCCCTGCTTCCCTGCCGGCCCCGGGGCAAAGGCCATCATCACGGCCAGGTCAAATTGCGCGTGTCGCTGCCCGATGCCCATGGATTCCAACTGCAGCTCGGAGCCCAGCGGCAGCTCTGCGCCCTCGTGGCCCATGAAGAAGGATGGCAAGTGCAGCCCGACGGGCACGCCCGAGCCTCCGGAGCCTTCGGAGTCGGGGCAGGTCTGAAATATGAACATGGCCTGCAGGACCTGGCGCAGATCCAGGCCCAGGTCCTCACAGACCGAGGCCAACGGCACCCTCTGGTGCTGCAGGGCCGCGCGCACCTCTGCAGCCACCTGCCGCAGCAGCTGCCGGAAGCTGAGGTCTCCAGCCACCTGCGCTCGCACGCAGAGCGGCGTCACGAAGTAGCCCACGGTGGCCTCCGACTCCACGGTGGTGCGGCACGCGAAGGGCGTGCCGACGCACACGTCCTCCTCTGCGTAGCGTGACAGCAACACCATCCACGCGGTCAGCAGCGTGGCGTGCAGCGACGCCCCCACCGCGCTGCCCAGGTCGGCCAAGCGCTGCGACAAGCCCACGCTCAGCTCGAAGTCCATCTTGTCGCCCTTGAAGTTCGCGTTGCCGTCCTTTGCGTCCTTCCGGCCCAGTGCCAGCGCAGGTGGCGGTGGCTGCAACTTCTGCCGCCAGTACTGCAAAGACGCCTGAGACAGCGCCTGGCTCCGGGCGTAGTCGCTGTACTGCGGTGCGGGGTCCCATAAAACTTTCTCCTGGCGCAGTTGGTCATAGGCCACACCCAAGTCCTGCAGCAGCAGTGTGTAGCCTCAGGCAATCAAGCTCTCTGCTTATGAACATTTTCCTGCCCTTGATGCCCTTTACCTTGTGTCATCTGGCTTTACTTGTATCGGGCTCTCGCGCAAGCAAACGTCTAAGCGCAAAGCTCCAAAGGTCCACACTGACATGGTGCAAGGTCCAGTGAAGGATCCATGTGTCCACAGACTCCTTGACGACGCGTACTCGGCACAAGGGCCCGCTGCTCAAGTTGAAGACTTCATATTGCTGATCAAGAACCCACTCCGCCAGGTCTGCAGGCATGTCCACCTGGCTGAAATCCAGGCAGTCCTCCTCCTTGATCTGGCACGTCTGGCCCGTCTGGCCCTCAAAAACTGAGCGCAGTGCAGCGTGGCGCAGCTGCACGGCACGGAAGGCTTGGCAGAGGCGGCCGACGTCCAAGGGTCCGCGGACATGGCAGCAGAGGGCCAAGTTCAGGGCTGCAGAGGCGCTGGCGCTGACGGTGGCCATCCCATGCAAGGACAGCTGCTGATAGCTGGCAGGAAAAGAATCCGAATCGCGCCCTTTGGGCCCTTCAGGCCCTTCCTTCTCAATGCTCTCGGGCTCCTTTTGCTTTTCAAGCTTTTCATTTGCGCTCCGCGCCAGCTGCCGCACCGTGGGAGCCGAGTACACATCCGCCAGGCAGATGCCCAGACCCTCGCGGCGGAGGCGGTTCACCAGCCGCCCCACCGAGATGGAGTGGCCGCCCAGCGCAAAGAAAGATGCCGAGAGAGGCACCTCCGTCACACTCACCACACTCACCACACTCATGCAGGGCAGGTGCGGTCGCCGTCGCCTCCGCCACATCTCGGCCCAGCACCGCAGCAAAAGCGGCCTGCACCTTCGCCTCAAGAATGTGTCAGAGAGGAGAGAAAGAGAGAAAGAGAGAAACAGAGAAAGCTTCCACAGGCCTCCAGCGCTGCCGGCACCTCGATGCAGCGGCGCACGGCGCACGCTCGGCGCACGCACGGCGCACGCTCGAATCCGAATGGACGGCCTGGAGGTCTCGCTCCGATTCCTCCGGTTCCTCCGGTTCCTCCAGCTTTGGCTCCGGCAGCTGTCGGCGGTCCACCTTGCCGTTGCTGTTCACCGGCAACGCATCCAGCTGCATTACGGCCTCACCGAAACGCGAAACGCGAAACGCGGTAAAAGCAGCGCCCGATTCGGGATACGTGTCCCGGGTGCGAGACGCGAGCTCCGATGTCCCGTCACTCTCACTCTCACTCTCCGCTCAAGCTTGAGGCCACGGCAGTTGGCACCATGTAGGCAGGTAGCTCACTCTGCAGCCACTCCTTAAGCTTGGAGCTTGCGATCGCTCCCGGACCTCAACGTGCTAACAGCAGGAAGAGACAGGAAACCCTTGGTTCCTTGGCCCCTTGGTCCCTAGCTCGGCGTCCAATAGGCAGCCAAGTACTTGTCATGGCCGCCAGGCAGGGTGCGACACTGCACAACACATTCTCGGACCGCCTGGACGGATCGCAACACCTCAAGCACAGCGGCAAGAAAATGCCAATGCGTCCTCGTGGGAGAGGAGCTTCGACTCAATGTCTCCCAGTTCGATTCGCTGACCACGCAGCTTGACCTGCGTGTTAGCGGGTTAGGTCATCGCCGGTTGAAGCGTCGAGTCCTGGCAGTCCGCGCGGCCCAGGAAGTCGATGGACCCCTCGTGCGTCCAGCGGACCAAATCGCCGGTGCGGTACAGCCGCGGGCCTCATTCTGCACAGAACTCAGCTGACACCTCGAACGCCTCGGACGTGGAAAACTCCGGAGGCTCTGGCCATGCGTGGACACCGCCTGCGAGCCCTGACAGAGCCCAACCCAACCGGGCCCTACTCCGCTCGATCTCGATGCCCATGCCTGCGGACCCAGGCGACCATCCCAGCCGGGGCCAGTGGGCCAGAGAGGCGGCCCCTCCTCACCGAGTTGGTCCCTTCGTGCCCCTTTCTCCCCTTTCTCCCTTGGCCCTTGGCCCTTGGCCCCCTGGCCTTCCCCGTGGTGCCAGCAAAGGGATTCTGCCTGGCAAAGGGACTCCATGTACCATGATCCTCTTTCATCGAGACTGCAGGCTCCACACAAACCGCTCCGCAGTGAGGTCAGGTCTGTGCAGATATCCAGCACCTACCTGCATGAGGGCATGCAATGTCTGTACAGCTTTTGCACGTTGCCGAGCCTGCGCTCCTCCGACATAAAGCTCTCCAAAAATCCCAGGCCTCATGCAACCAAGGCGTAACAGCCATCTAATGGGTAGGTTCATGCCAATCCTACATTCGCGGTTTCAGGCGCGCTGCGGCTGAGGACGCCTCTGCGCATCCTTGCAAACAAAGCGACAAAACGCATTATCTTTGATTGAATCCGGGCGAGCCACCAAGACGTAGAGTTGGACGCCCGCCACCGGCTCGCCAATGGGCGGAGCGCCACTTCCAGGACGAACCAAGCACCTCGCTCGAGTCAAGCTCAGAACTTATAGAACTCCTAGAATTCTCAGATCTCCTAGAACTCTTTGCACATTCGCATAGGGCCGGCGCATCGTGACATTGACGGTACACTCCGTGGGGCCTTCGGAAGGAGACATCCAAACGTTGCTCTGTGGCTCCGGGCGGCTCCGGGCCGTAGATGTTGACGAGCTGGAAGGGCGCGTGGCTCGGCGGCCGGAAGTGGAGCTTGTCGCCCCCCGTGAAGAGCACCCGGAGCCTGCCAAGAACACGCAAAGAAATGAGAAGAGAGACAAGAGAGAGAAGAGAGAGAAAAAAAGAGAGAGAAGAGAGAGAAGGGAGAGAAGAGAGAGAAGAGAGAGAAGAGAGAGAAGAGAGAGAAGAGAGAAGAGAGAGTCGTCAAGCGCAGGCCGGAAATGAAAGGCAAGCAAGGTGCGAGCCAGGTCCATGACACCTAACCGCGCACCCTTCGACAAGGGGGGAGAGGCACAGTGCAACTTGACGGTCTGAGAATGAACCCAAGTCCATCGCCACACAGCCCGCAATGGAGACGACCGCCGAAATCGGCCAAGGAGCATTCACAACCACCTCGGTGGCCATGCGTCAACTGGGCAGCAAGGCGGTTTTCGCTCAGGAAGAAAGTGAACTGCGGATCAGTGTGCGTGTGTATCGAAGAGACTCGAGTGGGCGTGGTAATATGCACGTCACGGCGCAAGAGCAAACCGAAGGAGATCGCTCGGGTGCTCGGGTGCGGAAAAGAAGGCTCATCCCCGCTATCTCATCCCGCGTGCGGTCGAGGAATACGAACGGGTACCGCAAGCCCGTCGGGCCAGAGGACAATCTGCAATCCACTGAAGGAAACCTGAAGATGGTCAGGAAGGACAGGAAGGACAAGGCCAAAAGGTCTGCGACGCTCCTGCCAGGCGGCCTGCCAAACCATATAATGGGAGGTAATGAGGCACTGCACCGGTAGGCACTCCAGGGCGAGCAAAAGGGCTCTCTCAACCGCCGAGTCAGATTCCTCACACAGGCAAGTCCGTCATACGACCAACGTCGGAATAAGTAAAGAAAAGCAAGTAAAGACCTTCCCCGCTTGACTGCATTTACTGCGTGCTGGTGTGGTTGTTGGGCTCTGCTTTTCGATGATGCCTTGTTCTCTTTCAGGCGCATGCGGCTGGGGCGGTTTGTTGCCTCGCAGAGTGCCTCCCTTGCATCTCCCCTGAAGTGCCTTGCAATCCCAAGATTGCTGGTTGGCCGGCCTGGGATCAGGGAAATGAATGGGCTCGCGTGCCCGCCCGTAGTGCGCAACGCATGGAAATGAATGGGCTCACGGGCTTCCACGTCGAGAGGCCCTAGCTTGCTCGGCTTGGCTGGGTCTTGTTGAGTTGTAAGGGGCTGCTGTTGGCTGTTGGCCCGTTTCCCCTCTTTCCCAAACCCTAAGGCTCTTCGAAGAGAGAGAAGAGAGAGAAGAGAGAGAAGAGAGAGAAAAAAAGAGAGAGAAAAAAAAAAGAGAGAGAGAAAAAAAGAGAGAGAAAACAAGAGAGAGAAAAAAAAAGAGAGAGAAGGGAGAGAAAAAAAGAGAGAGAAGAGAGAGAAGAGACAGAAGAGAGAGAAGAGAGAGAAGAGAGAGAAAAAAAGAGAGAGAAGAGAGAGAAGGGAGAGAAGAGAGAGAAGAGAGAGAAGAGAGAGAAGAGAGAGAAGAGAGAAGAGAGAGTCGTCAAGCGCAGGCCGGAAATGAAAGGCAAGCAAGGTGCGAGCCAGGTCCATGACACCTAACCGCGCACCCTTCGACAAGGGGGGAGAGGCACAGTGCAACTTGACGGTCTGAGAATGAACCCAAGTCCATCGCCAGACAGCCCGCAATGGAGACGACCGCCGAAATCGGCCAAGGAGCATTCACAACCACCTCGGTGGCCATGCGTCAACTGGGCAGCAAGGCGGTTTTCGCTCAGGAAGAAAGTGAACTGCGGATCAGTGTGCGTGTGTATCGAAGAGACTCGAGTGGGCGTGGTAATATGCACGTCACGGCGCAAGAGCAAACCGAAGGAGATCGCTCGGGTGCTCGGGTGCGGAAAAGAAGGCTCATCCCCGCTATCTCATCCCGCGTGCGGTCGAGGAATACGAACGGGTACCGCAAGCCCGTCGGGCCAGAGGACAATCTGCAATCCACTGAAGGAAACCTGAAGATGGTCAGGAAGGACAGGAAGGACAAGGCCAAAAGGTCTGCGACGCTCCTGAGGCCAGGCGGCCTGCCAAACCATATCCGCCGACCCCCCTGCCTGCAAGGGGAAGGCGCTGGGGGAGTGTTCGTTTAGCGTTGGAGCGTGACTGTGGCAGCCTTCTCCCTTCCCTTTTGCCCTCGCCCGTTCAGCCCTGTACCTTACCAGCCTTCTTTCTTTCCCTTTTTTCTTGTTCTTCTTCGTTTCTTTTCTTTCCTTTTCCTTTCGGCTGCCGGCGCACTCCTTTGGCTGGTGCTCGCTGTGGACAAACGAGTGCGGCCTGGAAAAGCGCGGGAAGCGCAGCTTTTGTGGCTGGCCGCTCCCTCTGGACCGATAGCCTTACTGCATCTTGGACTCAAACGCGACGTTAGGCACCCGGCCGCGGCGGAGCAGGCTGCCTGTTCGTTTAGCGTTGGAGCGTGACTGTGGCAGCCTTCTCCCTTCCCTTTCGCCCTCGCCCGTTCAGCCCTGTACCTTACTAGCCTTCTTTCTTTCCCTTTTTTCTTGTTCTTCTTCGTTTCTTTTCTTTCCTTTTCCTTTCGGCTGCCGGCGCACTCCTTTGGCTGGTGCTCGCTGTGGACAAACGAGTGCGGCCTGGAAAAGCGCGGGAAGCGCAGCTTTTGTGGCTGGCCGCTCCCTCTGGACCGATAGCCTTACTGCATCTTGGACTCAAACGCGACGTTAGGCACCCGGCCGCGGCGGAGCAGGCTGCCGGCGCACTCCTTTGGTTCGTGCTCGTTGAAGCGAGTGCGTCCTCCAAGAGCTTTCTACTTTCTATATAGGATTCAAAAGTGACGTTTGGCACCCGGCCGCGGCGGGGCAGCCGCCCTTGGCAAGACGCAGCAAACCCAAAGGCAGAAAGACCAGGGATAAGCAAACTGTGACAGACGCAGGCGCACATGGGCATGGACAGGCCGGGGATTGAGCCCGGTCCCTCTCGCATGCTGAGCGGGTGTGATGCCACTACACCAACTGCTCCTGAGCTGAGGAGGCCGAGAGGTTTTTTTGTTTCCTTCTCTTTTCGGCTGCCGGCGCACTCCTTTGGTTGGTGCTCGCTGGACAAACAGGTGCGGCCTGGAAAAGCGCGGGAAGCGAAGCTTTTGTGGCTGGCCGCTCCCTCTGGACCGATAGCCTTTCTGCATATTGGACTCAAACGCGACGTTACGTGCTCGCTGAAGGGAGTGCGTCCTCCAAGCGCGCTGGACGCGAAGCTGTTCTTGCTGGTTGCGCCCTGGGGACCGATAGCTTTCTACTTTCTATATAGGATTCAAAAGTGACGTTTGGCACCCGGCCGCGGCGGGGCAGCCGCCCTTGGCAAGACGCAGCAAACCCAAAGGGACAAACGAGTGCGGCCTGGAAAAGCGCGGGAAGCGAAGCTTTTGTGGCTGGAACGCGACGTTTGGCACCCGGCCGCGGCGGAGCAGGCTGCCGGCAAGACCAGGGATAGGCAAACAGACGCAGGCGCACATGGGCATGGACAGGCCGGGGACTGAGCCCGGCCCCTCTCGCATGCTGAGCGGGTGTGATGCCACTACACCAACTGCCCCTGAGCTGAAGAAGCCGAGAGGTTTCTTTTCTTTCCTTTTCCTTTCGGCTGCCGGCGCACTCCTTTGGTTGGCGCTCGCTGTGGACAAACGAGTGCGGCCTGAAAAAGCCTGGAACGCGACGTTAGGCACCCGGCCGCGGCGAAGCAGGCTGCCGGCAAGACCAGGGATAGGCAAACTGTGACAGACGCAGGTGCACATGGGCATGGACAGGCCGGGGATTGAACCCGGCCCTCTCGCATGCTGAGCGGGTTTGATGCCACTACACCAACTGCCCCTGAGCTCAGGAGGCCGAGAGTGCTCATCTACGTGCTGGGCACAGCTTTCAGCCTCTGTCACGGCCCGTTCGGCCTGTGTTCTTCCTATCTGCTGCCGGCGCACTCCTTTGGTCGCTGCTCGCTGTGGGCAAACGCGTGCGGCCTGGAAAAGCGCTCAAGCACCTGCAAGGCACAGTTTTCAGCGCTGAAGCTCTGTCACGGCCCGCCCGTCCGGCCTTTTTTCTTCCTTTCTGCCGGCGCACTCCTTTGGTTGGTGCTCGCTGTGGGCAAACAAGTGCGGGCCCGCGCGTTCTGCTTCTTTTCTTCCTTTCTGCTGCCGGCGCACTCCTTTGGTTTCTTTCCTTTTCCTTTCTGCTGCCGGCGCACTCCTTTGGTTGGCTCGCTGTGGACAAACGAGTGCGGCCTGGAAAAGCGCGGGAAGCGAAGCTTTTGTGGCTGGCCGCTCCCTCTGGACCGATAGCCTTACTGCATCTTGGACTCAAACGCGACGTTAGGCACCCGGCCGCGGCGGAGCAGGCTGCCGGCGCACTCCTTTGGTTCGTGCTCGCTGCGGCGAGGCGAGTGCGGCCTCCCAGCGCGCTGGACGCGAAGCTGTTCTTGCTGGTTGCGCCCTGGGGGCCGATAGCTTTCTATTCTACTTTCTACTTTCTATATAGGATTCAAAAGTGACGTTGCCGCGGCGGAGCAGCCGCCGTTGGTAAGACGCACAGCACACCCAAAAGGGAGAAAGACCAGCGATAAGCAAACGGTGACAGACGCAGGCGCACATGGGCATGGACAGGCCCCTCTCGCATGCTGAGCGGGTGTGATGCCACTACACCAACCGCCCCTGAGCTGAAGCTCTGTCACGGCCCGCCCGTGGCCTTTTTTCTTCCTTTCTGCTGCCGGCGCACTCCTTTGCTGTGCGCAAACGAGTGCGGGCCCGCCCGTTCGGCCTCTTTTCTTCCTTTCTGCTGCCGGCGCACTCCTTTGGTTGGTGCTCGCTGTGGACAAACGAGTGCGGCCTGGAACAGTGCGGGAAGCGAAGCTTTTGTGGCTGGCCGCTCCCTCTGGACCGATAGCCTTACTGCATCTTGGACTCAAACGCGACGTTAGGCACCCGGCCGCGGCGGAGCAGGCTGCCGGCGCACTCCTTTGGTTCGTGCTCGCTGCGGCGAGGCGAGTGCGGCCTCCCAGCGCGCTGGACGCGAAGCTGTTCTTGCTGGTTGCGCCCTGGGGGCCGATAGCTTTCTATTCTACTTTCTACTTTCTATATAGGATTCAAAAGTGACGTTGCCGCGGCGGAGCAGCCGCCGTTGGTAAGACGCACAGCACACCCAAAAGGGAGAAAGACCAGCGATAAGCAAACGGTGACAGACGCAGGCGCACATGGGCATGGACAGGCCCCTCTCGCATGCTGAGCGGGTGTGATGCCACTACACCAACCGCCCCTGAGCTGAAGCTCTGTCACGGCCCGCCCGTGGCCCTTTTTCTTCCTTTCTGCTGCCGGCGCACTCCTTTGCTGTGGGCAAACAAGTGCGGGCCCGCCCGTTCGGCCTCTTTTCTTCCTTTCTGCTGCCGGCGCACTCCTTTGGTTGGTGCTCGCTGTGGACAAACGAGTGCGGCCTGGAACAGTGCGGGAAGCGAAGCTTTCGTAGCTGGCCGCTCTCTCTGGACACATAGCTTTACTGCATGTACGATCCCTTCCCATCTTTCTTTCCGTTTCCTTTCTGCTGCCGGCGCACTCCTTTGCCTGGTGCTCGCTGTGGCAAAACGAGCGCGGCCTCTTAGCGCGCTGTACGCGAAGCTGTTCTTGCGAGCAGGCATGCAGGACCGATGCGCAAGATTTTTGCGCTGCGCTGCCAGATTTCCGCACACGTCATTTCGCGCGCCAGTCCTTGGTCTGGCAAAAGCGTTTGCTGTTTGGCTCTTCGTGCTGGACCCGGATCCGGCCTTGCCTCGTGCTCGACTGCACTGTCGCTCCGCAGGTCGGACACGCATGCTCGTACCTCGCACCATCTTCGCGGCGCACAACCTGTCCCTCGCGAACTTGGAAGCGGCGCCCGCAATGCCGTCGCGTGTCAACCGTGCCGCTCCAGACGCCTGACTCCACGTCGGCGCTGCAGTGCGGGCAAGTGTACGTTCGCTGCGAGCGCTCTGCCTTCTTTTCGGCCTCCTTTCCTCGGTCGTGTGGCTCCGACGCCTGCACCGCTGCGCCGCGCCTGTCCCGCGCGCAAATAATGTCTGCGATGCATGCGCGGATCTCGGCCAGCGCCCGGCGCTTCTGGGCTGCGCGTCTGCGCGCTAATCGCGCGGCGCTCTTCTTGGCGATCGCTTTTGTGTCACGTGCTCGGAGGCAGGCATTGCACTCTTGCTTCCCGTTCCGCGTCCTCTTGTACCGCGAGAACGCGGCAACTGCGCATCTCTCCTTGCACTGCACGCATGTCCACTGGCCTCGTTCCTTTGCGCTGCAGTCCTTGCACACTTGGCGCGCCTTGCGCCGTGTTTGCCGCGCCGCCTTGCTGAAATCGCTCTCTGTTTTCGACTCTCCGCAACGCGCGCACGCATGGGTTTCGATGCAATTGCAGCAGACTCGTTGCAGCTCGCTTCGCTTTCTATGCCACTTCTCGAAGAACCCTGCCCGAGGCTGCCAGTAGTAGCAAACGCAGCATTGCCACGGGTGGCCTGCGCTTTCGTGCCGCCCGGTGCATTCTTTACACACTCCGCTGGCGTCCTCTCGTTTCCATCGCCCCGCAGTGTACGCGCAACGACCCTTCCGCTGCAGGCATTCGACGCGCTCTTTCTCGACGAGGTACTTTTTTCCAATGGCTTCCCAATCGATGACCTCCCCCCTCCAAACTCGCAAAAGCAGGTTACGGCCGAACTCGTCTCCGCGTTAAAACGGCTCCAAGTCGACCGGGCGAAATATCCCCAGCTTCCGTCTCCCTTCAACCCGCGTCATGGCCACGTACGATGTCAACGGGTTGTCTCCCTTCTTCATGGCTATGTCCACGACTGCGCCGTTGACTGCTGTTATCCCTTGCGCCCCGTGCGCTGTCAACGCGAACGCCGGGCTCAGGGGCAGCTGTCGGCGAGACACGCGAAGCTGTGGTTTCTTGCGCTTCTCATCGAGGAACCACGCACTTCGAACTGGCGCAGCGGGCAGGACGCAGTCTTCTTGTATGCCATCGACGCGCCATGTCTTGCTCGTGCGGAACTTCACGTACACGGCCGCTGGCATTTCCGCCCAATAACGCACATGCCCGTCCGCACGCGTCACCTCGCTTTTGTCGCCCGTGTGCGTCCAGCCACGCATAGTCCCCGCGCAGCCGCGCAGCCAGAACAAAAAAAAACTGGGCTGGCCCCCAGTGGAGGGGTCGGCGGCACTGGGCGGCAGCAATGGGAGGTAATGAGGCACTGCACCGGTAGGCACTCCAGGGCGAGCAAAAGGGCTCTCTCAACCGCCGAGTCAGATTCCTCACACAGGCAAGTCCGTCATACGACCAACGTCGGAATAAGTAAAGAAAAGCAAGTAAAGACCTTCCCCGCTTGACTGCATTTACTGCGTGCTGGTGTGGTTGTTGGGCTCTGCTTTTCGATGATGCCTTGTTCTCTTTCAGGCGCATGCGGCTGGGGCGGTTTGTTGCCTCGCAGAGTGCCTCCCTTGCATCTCCCCTGAAGTGCCTTGCAATCCCAAGATTGCTGGTTGGCCGGCCTGGGATCAGGGAAATGAATGGGCTCGCGTGCCCGCCCGTAGTGCGCAACGCATGGAAATGAATGGGCTCACGGGTTTCCACGTCGAGAGGCCCTAGCTTGCTCGGCTTGGCTGGGTCTTGTTGAGTTGTAAGGGGCTGCTGTTGGCTGTTGGCCCGTTTCCCCTCTTTCCCAAACCCTAAGGCTCTTCGAAGAGAGAGAAGAGAGAGAAGAGAGAGAAGAGAGAGAAAAAAAAAGAGAGAGAAAAAAAAGAGAGAGAAAAAAAAAGAGAGAGAAAAAAAGAGAGAGAAAAAAAAAGAGAGAGAAGGGAGAGAAAAAAAGAGAGAGAAGAGAGAGAAGAGACAGAAGAGAGAGAAGAGAGAGAAGAGAGAGAAAAAAAGAGAGAGAAGAGAGAGAAGGGAGAGAAGAGCGAGAAAGATGCAATGCACATCACATCACGCCTCATTTCTGGGAACTGTGGCTCTGCCAGCACGGCCTCCGACCCAACCCAACTTAAAAACTCACGCACCGAGTCCAAGTCTCGCCTCCGCCAGCTGCGTGGTCAGGAAAGCCACTGTTGCCCCTGCCTGCGGAGCTGCGGAGGCAAGTTGACGTTTTGCTTCAGTTGACGTTTTGCTTCGTGTCAACGCGTGCCTCAGCGTACCAGCGGCAAAGGGCCTCACAGTTGAAAGAAAGCTTGAAGTCACGGAAACGGTTCAGTTCCGAAGTTCCTTACCTTTCCTCTCACTTCGCTCACTTCGCTCACTTCGCTCACTTCACTCACTTCGCTCACTTCGCTCACTTCGCCTCTGGCAGCAGTCGGACCTCATCGTCAGGGGCTGGCAGGACACAGCCGCCCACGGAGAGCGTCGGCCAGATCTCCTGCAGCTACGTGCACTCCGAGTACTCTGAGTACTCCGAGCGCTCGAATGCAGATCTGAAAGAGTTGCACTCCGCCATGGAGGCGTCGAAGGAGAGGCCGGCCATGTGCGGAACACGGTCCTGCACTCGAATCAAGCAGATCAAGCAGATCAAGGGGATGGGTCAAAGCTTCGTGAATTCCTCTTCGGTGAGCTGGTAGTAGGGCACATGCCACTGGACATATGCTGAAAGGTTGGCGTGAGTCAGGACCACGCCCTGGAGAGCGAATCTTGCCTATTTTGATTCGGCTGATGTGGGCCTTGGGGACTCCTGTAGACCCGCTGGTAAACAAGATGTAAGCCTCACATGCGGAATGAGCTGAGCCATGCGAACAGAGACCGAGGCTCGAGCCGCGTCTTCTGGAGCGACGCTTTGCGCCAAGTCTGGCCACGCCCAATGTCAGAAGCGGTCAAAAGGGCAAGTGACTCGCGGTGACGCCGAATGCGCTCCTGGAGATGCGCCGTGTCGATAGTCTTCCACCCGGAGAACTGGACTCGTGAGCCACGAGGTGTCCAGCGCCGCACTGGCAATCACCAAGCTGACCTGCCGATCTGTGGCGCGTCGCCGTGCGCGTCGCCGTGCGCGTCGCCGCATGTCGAGCACCCCGTGTCAAGCACCCCCGTGTCGAGCACCCACAGGCGGCACCTCTGCATCTTGGAGCATCTGTTCCTCCCAGCACTTGGAAGCATGGGTTGAGAGCACTGGCTGAGGTCCGTGCAAGTCGTGGGCGGGGCGTCTTCACGTCCAGTGGCATGCACGTGCCGCCTCACGCTGGGCGGTTTGCACACCTTCGGCAGCGGTCGCCTCGCCTGCTCGCCAGGCTGCGAGTAGGGCAACCACCTAGCATTGTATTGCATGCCATGTGCCTCATATGAGACTCATATGACTCGTATGAGTCAACATATGACTCATATGAGCCAAGATGCACTGCGCATCTATGGCTAGTGCTTGCGGGTACAGGGCAGCCCGGCCATGGCCACACCGCGCTCCAAGAAGATGGCCACACGGGCCCCGGTGCCGGCTCTGGCGGCCGCAGCCAGGCGCCCGGCAAAGGCCCAGAGCTCACCGTGGCTCAGCGGACCCAACGGGTCCCCCGCACGCACCTCGATCGAATGACTGGGACAGAAACCTGAAACCACGACACTCCGAGGATTCCGAGGATTCCGAGTCCGAGATGTAGGGCCCTTGCCACGGCCTCCCGGGCCGGCCATCTGCTTGCAGCCTCTGACAGCTGCTCCAGCAGTGTGGGGGCTGCCACCGTCGCTGTCCGGTTGAAGTCGTGCAGCACCCGGGCCTCCTGAAACTTCCACTCTCCCACTCTCCCACTCTCCCTCTCTCTCGAGACGAGCAGCCAACGGAATCGTCAGACCCTTCAGATCCTCCTCCACGGAGATCCAGCGCAGGTCCCGGACCAAAGCCCCGCTTCGCAGGCCCTCCAGTAGCCGGCACATGTCTTCCTCACCCGTCACTTGTGCACGTGACTCCTTTCAAGCAATTCCCCTCCTGCGCTTGCTTCACCCATCTCTCTGAAAACATGGAGCTCCATGACCACCTGGGCCGACAAAAAACACGACGCGGGAGAACAGAATCCTTCTTGAGGCGAGATGCTTCACAGAATCCTTGACTGGAAGCAAGAATAGCTCCACTCCTGGCAGAGTGGCCCTTGGCTATGTGCAACTGAGCATACGCATGCCGCGCATGGTGAGCACCTTGCCTGCGGGCGGGTCAAGAACCTGTGCGCAGCTGCTTGTCTGCCAAGCCTTTCGAACGCGGGCCGGCCTCGCCATCGCCATCACCAATCACCACCTGCGACTCTCTCAAGAGGCAGTCCTTGACTTGACAAATTTGGCCACTCCTGTGGCCAGCATTTGCAAGGTTGCCGGGGCACCGCCTGGCAGACGCGAGAGCGAATGAAAAGCTTGAGGCAAAGCGTGCCTGCAGCAGGCTTAAGGTCTGCTGGGATGCCTACAGGGTGAGCAACGAGAGGGATAAACAAGATCAAAACCCGTAACGGGCGCCTCCGTCACGCGCACAAACTGGGGCGTCTGCGACAATGTACAATATTCAACACTCGCTCGCATGTCTCCACAGCCATCCAGCAACCTCAAGTTTCGGACCAGAACCCAGAAAAAAAAGGCCTGAACCCTTGCGTCTTTGATGCCAACCACGATGTCCTCCTGCAATGTGTCTGTCTATGTGCGAGCCGTCAGCTGACATGCCTAAGATGCATAGCCGATAGCTTACATTGCACCACTTTCGCCTCACTCGCAGTGTGTTCCTCGCATAGCCACGGAAATATGCTGTAGCCATGCACCGTGGAAGCTTGGGAAGCTTAGTGAACCAATCTCAGGCCAAAACCTTAACATGTCATTGCCCCGAAGTCTTTTGCATGTGCTTTGCGATCTTTTGACTGCACTGCTCCCTCTCCAACACCTCACTCCATCGTTAAAACAAGACCTTCCGCTTGAAGCTCCCGTGAAGCTCCCGTGAAGCTCCCGAGGCTCCGGAGGCTCCTGGCGGGTGTACTTCTGCAGCAGCGCCACCAGCGCGGCGATCAGCTCCGGAAGCGGGCGCTCCCAGCGCAGCTCCACCTCGCCTTCGGCTCTCCTCGAATCGAATGCCACGTGCCTTTGGCTTCCGTCCGAAGGCCAGGCTCTCCCAAGCAAACAACATGGGATACCGCGGGAGATCCCGATTCTTTCTTGCTAAGACCGCGACGCATCGAGCTCCCGGGGCAAGTCCAACACGGGAAGCTCGTCGCCTCAATACGGAAGCAAGTCCCCTTGCATTTCTTGCATCTCCAGTTTCCTTTAAGTCAGAACGACCAAGTTGGCATTTGTGAGAGACCAATGCTCCAGGCATGCGCGCCTGCATACGTGCTCATCAGCTTTGGATGTGACAATGTGGACTGAAAGCTTGGGGTCTATGACAGTCTAGTGATCCAATTGAGTCTGTTCAACGTCTGGCTTGAGCCTGCTGGGCTCCGGCAAGAAGTTTCCAAACCGCTTTGCCACGAGCACGGAAAGTTGCACGCCTCCCAAGCTCGCCTTTTGTTCCGGGAAGAACATACATCGCGCATGCTAAGCAGCTGGGCCGGCATAGAGTGGCCTGAACAGCGGAAACAGCGCAACCCCACAATCCATCCCCACTCCCAAGCCTGGTCGACACCTGCACGGCGGAGTCCCCTGCAAGACCATAGCGCTGGAGCGGCAGCGGATCCTGCCGCGACGCCACAGGCCAAGTGCCCGAAACCGGTTTGGACCAAAACCAAATCGGCATCCGATCGACCCATTGAAGTCCCGCAGCTCTTTGGTGCCCGCGAAGAGCTTCATGCAGAGGTACGGGATGCCCACCTCCGAGGTGATGCGGCCCTTGAGCTGTGCCACCGTGGTGTCTCCTGTCACGTGCTCCTGGCGCAGGCTCTGATCAGCTCGGGAAGAGCAGGAGGGCTTGGTGGAAGCGTTCACGGAGCGCGGCACGTGCACAGCTCAAGTGCAACGAGCTCAACCAGCACCAAGGACACAGCCAGAGAACAGCGAGGCGAGGTGCCTTGATGTGGCCCCCGCCGGGCAAGCGACACCTTCGCCAAGTGCCACACCCCACCTCGCCCTTTCGCCACTTTCACCACTTGCTTGCGCCAAGGCCCTAAGGCCCTGGCTCCAGGTCGAAGGAGCAGGGGCAGGTCCCCATGTGCACCACAGGCCCGCCCGGGCAATCATCGGGCACCTGGGGACGGATGCGATTGTGCTTGGCAAGGGGCGGGAAGGTTAGGGACCCGGCAACATTGTACTCCAGCAGGGTGGCGTCCTTGAAGGTGGCCGATCCAAACCAAGCAAGATGCGCGAGTGCGCACCTCATCTGCCAACTCAACGCCGTTGAAGAAGAGGGGCTCGTTTGCCTGGCAGAGCCACAAAACAGACCGCAGAGGCCAGGCAATCAGCCTCTGCGGCAAGTCTGGCTTTGAGGTCTTGCTTCAGCTCCCGGATGGAGTCTGTCTCCTGCACATCTCATGAATGGCACACACCGAACCTCAGTACATCCGCATTAGCTCTCCTCAACTGTAACAACGAGGATCTGCTGCTGGCTATTCTTGATGCACAGGTCGTATGGCATCACTGTGGCGCGCTTCCGCCCGAGAGGGCTCACCGCGCCCTTTAGCCAAATGTAAGGTGCACGTACCTAATCTCCGGCATCTTGGCACCATGGCACCCTGGACCCTTTTGCTGGTTTTGCGCTCGGCTTTGCTTTCGGCCTCTTTTTGCAACTCTATCGCTACGCCAATTCGGCACAGCTCTACAGGTTGAAGGTAGCGCGGTTCCGCGGTACGCACAGCACCTCGTGCATCGAAAAAGATCGGCAGCGGGTTGCCCATTTCGGGTCCGCCTGGCTCCTGGCACGCAGCCACACAAGACGGCAAGATTCGGCAAGATGGCAAGATGGCAAGACGGCAAGACCCAGCTGGGTTGGCGCTTCAGCAACTCCAGCGAGCGTCCGGCGAATTTTCGGACCACTTCCTGGCACGCTTTCCTTCGCTCTTCACTATGTGCCACTGTCTAAAGGCTCTAGCAAAGGCTTCGGCTTCGTTCTCGGCTTCATCTCGAATGCTTGCCAAAAAAAAAAAAAAAGCAAAATCACTGGCTAAAGGATATGCTAAGGGGCATTATATAGAACACGACACGTGTTGTGCGTCCGCAAAGCGATGCAGGCCGCCCTCTGGAGAATAGTGACAACGATTGCCTGCATATTTTTTTTATTACAGAATATAAATACATCAAAGAACTGGCAACGGCGCACCAAGCACTGCTGTCATGTCATGAGCCACAGTTGTGTACATGCGGCGATGGTCTTAGGAACGGCCAATGCTAAAGCGTCTTGGCGCTGTCCGTGCCTACTGCTCCTAATTACTCAGGTCCTGCGTTGAGCCAAAGTACGGCTCGTGATACCAAGCCATTGGTCACACTCTTCTGCAGTTTGAGTTGTGCCAGCCACGGCAAAAAACATCCCGTGAGAGGGGTGCAACTTTCGTATTGCTGCCAGGTCAGTCCCAGTTGCTTTTGGCAGCAAATATTTCTGTCCAGTTACAACTATCATTAATTATCCATCCAAGTTCTCTGTGTGGCTTGTGCAAGCGCGCAAATTCTCTGTGCCACGTACACTAGCGCTGCGCAGTCCAGTCTCTCGAAAGATTTGCTCTGCTCTTGTCACACGGAGTGGGGCATGTCCCACGCCTTCCGGGCGTCGGCTTTCGGCGAAGAAACAGGCCAGCTTGGCAGCTCGAGGTGGGACACTGAAAAGGCGCGCTCTCGCGATCCGTGCAGCACCTTGCATCGGGTGCATCGAGTGCATCGAGCGCATCGAGAGCATCGGGTCGACGCCGACGCTTCAGGAAGGTGAGGGCAGCGCTGGAAAACGTTGAGACCGAAGATAGAAAGCTCGGTGGCAGCAGCGGGTTGCCCAATTCGGGTGCGCCTGGCTCCTGGCACACAGCCACACAAAATGGCAAGATTCGGCAAGATTCGGCAAGATGGCAAGACGGCAAGACGGCAAGACCCAGCCGGTTTGGCGCTTCAGCAACTCCAGCGAGCGTCCGGCGAATTTTCGGACCACTTCCTACGCGGCCCTTTCCCTCATGTCTTCGATTCGCCGACTCTTTGAAGTGAGAGCACTTTGGGCCTTGCTCGGGCGCTTCAATGAGCTCCAGAAGCCGCAACGAAAGTAGTAGGTCTTCTTGGACTGCAAATGGCGCTTGTCCTCAGCACCTGGACAAACGGATGGAGAAGTATGAACACGAACACGACGACTGCAATGGAACTTTTGCCCACGCCTTGCAGTGTGTAAAGTACCAAATGCAGCGGAGGCTTGCCGCAGTACAAGTTGAGATCCAGCGGCGTGAAGATTGGAATGCCCGTGGCCTTCGCATCAAGGCGGCTCTGTGCAGAGGGCGATGCGAAGGCAAACCCCCGCCTGCCACCCGATGACATCGCAGAACCGGGAGACTCCCCAGAAGCAGAAGGTGAATGTAGGCCCCGGCCTTCCCACGTTCTTTCCAGAGCGACTCGACTGACCTGAAGAAGGCCCTGAAGGCCTGAGGTCTAGGGAGTCCATCAAGCGCTTGTACTCCCGGATTTGGCCCACTCGCTTGTGTCCATATTCCTCAAATGAGCACAAGCAACACCCGTGTCAGCAACGAACATAAACCTGGGGTTGGGCAGCCACACTGGAAGATTGGGATCAGAGAGGTCTGGAGGAGTCTCGCCCTCCGGGGTCTCAATGAATTGGTCGAAAGCCTGCAATGCGTGGCAGTGCCATCGCCAAGTGTGCTCAGACTCAGGTACCAGCCCACAGGGGCATCATAATCGCAGGCCTCTCGCTCTCCACCTAAGGCAACGCGTGGGGATACGTTGGGACAGGTTGGGACAAGTGGCCGGATCTTGGTCGCCCAGGGTGTGGTACAAGCGGTCCCCGACCACTTGCCGCATCCCTGCCACCTGGGCCGTGAGCGGGCGAGGGGCGAGTGGAGTGCGACCGCTCGCGAGTTCAAGGGCTCGCGAATTCAGGGGCCCAGGGGCCCAGCCGACAGGTCCATGACCCGCTTGGTGGCGGCGTTCACCGGGACGTATTCCTACTTCGCGTGCTCACGTTATCTCAGCTACGGTCGTCTCTCACAAACTCGAAAAACATAGAACAGTCTCAGTCCTCAAGCTCGACTCCAAAGAAAAGGTCGGACTGCGGAACGCGTCGCTTGAACTGCACGCGGAAACGAAGCTCCCAAAGACGCCTTGGGCTTCGAAAGCCGGGACACCGTGAAACAAGGCCTGGTTGGGACTCAAAGAGGCCTCGTTGCCGATGCCGAGGCCCGCACTTCTTGCCTTCAAAGTAATCGCCGTAGAGGTAGCTGCTACTGTTGTTGAGCTGACTGCGGCGCATTTTTGGGGCGTGGAAGCTTCAAAGCCGGTGGAAGCCGGTGGAAGCCCATGCCTATCATAGGTCGGGCGATGCAGTACAAGAAAAAGCCCGCTGCAGTTCCTGACTCTGATCTGCCAGTCATTGGCCAAATTGGCTCACTGCAACCAAGCATCTCATTGTCGAACGCAAAGGCATCATGACTGTTGCTATGTATAAGTCGGGTTGGCGGCTGAAACCTCGGACCACTTGCGAGTGGATGAATTCGTTCATATGTGTCATATTATTCATATAATTATAATTCACACTATTCATGAGATCCTGACCCACCCTCCAAGTGAGGTTCCGCCGGCATCCCCATAGTCACGAAATCCTGCAATGAAAGCACTTTGCTGACCTGCAACAAGCACAAGTGTCCTCATCTGTCCTCATCAATCAGGTCGTCAAAAGCTGATTGGTCAGTGACGTTGTTTGATGCTGCATCGCTTCCGAACGAAGCTGCCTGACAGACTACCACCGCAGCTGAAGTCAGTTGATTCTTCCATGGCCTTGCTTTTCTTCCCCAAGGACAGCGCTAGTGCCTGGACAGAAATTCGGACAGGAGCAAAAGCAAGTCCTGAGGACTGAGGGTCCCACACCTACCAAGGCTGCCAAGAGAATGCTGCTGCCTACAGACCAAACCTCGGCAACACATCCAGAAGCCTGAATCAAATCAAAAGAAACAAAAACAAAAAAGTCCTTTCCAAGGCACTTCATCATGAAGTCTGACTCCAGTTGCAGCATCAGCCACGGCTGAGCTGGTTGCAACCATCCATGCCGTCATCACCTGGCCGGCGGCCTCTCGTTTCGTACCGCTGCCAAATGCAAATCAGCCGCCTCCATCGACGTGTCGGCACGATTCCACGGTCACGGCCGTGAATTACGCGTTTGCGCACCAATCCCTAATCCCTGTGCTAGCTGACCTGGAGTTTGGCAATGCGGGCTTGTGGTGAGCAGTTTAAGCTGCAAAGTGTAGCGCTCCTTGCGTAAACGGCTGCGGGCTCACGCCTACACAACGAAAGACCAAAAAAACATCTTGAGAAGAGAATGTGTTCACTTGGTCAAATCAATTTGCTGGCTTGCGCACTGCTTGCTCTACTTGCATGGCCACAATGTGGTTGCAGTCAGTGACAGCATGAACCTGAGCAATCTGCTGGTGCGCAAAATCACATACATTGATTCGCATACAATCAATACATATTCAGTATATCTATATCTAGATATACATATATATATATATAGATTACATATTTGGTTCTATTCAATGATCACAGCTGTCCCGTAGGCCATCACTTCAGAAGTGGAGGCCTCAGCTGTCAGCTCACATGTTCAAGCCCAACAGCACACCAGACTGTGCAAAGAAGCAAAAGCGGCGTTTCTCGAGCTTGTCAGGGATCCTTACATTCTACACCTGAACATTGCCTTGTAAATGGTGGTGTCCCTGTATTTTGCTGGCAAAGCCATGTTTCAAATGGGCAAAATGTATCTTTTAAGGAGCCCTGGTCAAGTGCGCTACTTCAAAAAAAAGGCAGCTACACTGCAACCCGGAAACCATCATTTCCAAAGCTGATGGGGGAATGTCTGCCATGGACAGCGTGTGTGCTTGATGTTGTGATTACGTTTGACTGGATTGCAGTGACTACACGCACGCTTCGGCCCACTGGTGGGCAGCATACTCATAACCGTTACATATCACAAGGTATAGCACAAGGTATAGCACAAGGCATAGCACGGGCACGCCGAAGTGTAGCCAGAAAACTTGGGTATCCCCACTGCGATGTTGGTGGATGAGAGCCGCAAACTGATGACCTCACCGTGCCAGATTCAATTTATATTCGTACTGCTTCGCACTGAAGGCACCACTGCATTGGCGCCCAGCGCCTCTGCCTCATCCTGACATGTTCGCTGACTCTGGGAACCCGGCATCGCGACATCTTTGGGGAGGGACCTTGTTTACGCATGGAGCATGCTCTCCCTCAATGCGTGTGCCTCCAGCCGGGCCAATGCCTCCTCACGCGCTTCCTGGAAATGCCGCGCAACGAATTCCGGGCATGAGTGCGTCAGCTCAAGGCCAACATGGCACGCCTTCATGAGCTCAGTGTAGTGCGGCAGCTCGCCACCAAACACCTCAGCACCCGATCAGGCCGGAATCAGCCATTTTTGCCCAGTGGAATGTGAGCATGGTCTACGAGCAAGACCCTGATCTACTTCGGCAGTCGCGTAACTACGAAAGGCATTCAGAGCTGCAAGCAAATCTGCCTTTGACCATCCCCTGCCTTCCTGAGGCACCAGCTGCGCGGATTGCGCTGGTGATGTCCTTGGTGGCATCCTTGGCTCGCACCTGGGAAAGCCCCGTGGCTTGCCGCCGCTTGCCGCCGCTTGCCGTCGCTTGCCGTCGCTTGCCGCCGCTTGCAAACCAAAATTCAATTCCCTCAGCCTCTAAAGCTAAAAGCCCTCAAATGCTCAAAATCGAGCCAAGCGGAAATCTGGGCCACTGGGGAGGGCACTGTGGAGCCCATAACCAGTCCCTTGTACCTCAGAGAAACAAATGAAAGCTGGGCAACTGGGCAACTGGCAGGGAGCACTCCTTGATAGTGAAGCCAGGGACTTGCTCTGAGGTGGCAAGCCTCACCGCCGCATGGACAGCTCACCCCGAGTCCAATTCATTGTTCTTAGGCACACGCTTGATCCCAACGCGTCCTGGGTACGACAGGAGCTAGGATTTGCCACGACTGGAATTTGGGCCCAGCCTTGAGGCGTGCGCGTAAAACACCGTGCGTGCAGTCCTTTCGTGATTTCGGAAGCAACATCAGCTTTGTTGCACGTGTCAGGTTCTTTGCATGTGGTTCGCAATGAACAGAAAAACACATACAAACAAACAATGCGGTCCTAACAGTAGGGCATTGATTTGGGGGGACCCAAGAACGGTTTGCTTTCCAACGTGGAACCCTAGTAAACTACCCGCAGTGCGCAGCATAGCTTGTTTGAGTCCTCTGCCACGCATACCTTGCGGCGCTGCACAGATTCTGACGACCAGCATCATTGCAAATGCCCGCGCCGGTGTAATCTTGCAAACGGGGGCTACTTCCGGTCAAGTGTATTGAACAGTTGCCCGTAAGTGTGCTCAGCCACTCTTGGAGCCATCATGCGCCCTATGACATCGTCCAAACATTGAGCTCCACCTTGAGCAAGTGCGCGCCGCGCATCAATAGCACGCACGCCAAAATTTAGCGCAAACCTCAACGACGCAGGAGCAAGCATTCGAGCCAAAGGCCGTTGCCAGTTGGAAGCTGCATCCGCCGACTACAGACGGCCGCACTTTGTTCGTTACCCCTCCCCTTACCCCTTGAGACTGGTAAAGCAGAACCGAGCATTCATAATCAGCATCATCATCATCATCATCGTCTTTCCGCTTGACCACACGCAAGCAGGAATGCCGAAGTTGACAGTGTTCGCAAACAGCCAAAAGGCAAGAATGGTGAGCTTGTCCAGCAAAACATTCCACACAAAAAGGCGGGCCGACGGCCTGCATGCCAGTAGGACAAACCATCCCAAAAAGGAGGTTTGTGCAAAAGGTGGGTCATTATGCACTGCCCAAGGCACGCACCATGTTTGTGCTGCACACACACAAGCGATCAGGAAAAAGGTTTCACTGATGCTGGATGTTAAGGCATGTTGCACTGCTCCTATCTTGAACCCAAACCAGACCACCCAAAAGAACAAAGCAAGTCCGCAGCGGCCGCAGTTCTTTTAACCGGGATTGCTGAAAGTAGCACTGCTTCCAGGGCACGGATGCGCCTGGAGCAGGAGGTCCTTGCGGGTGCGTGCAGTGCGCGCAAGGCGTGGCAAGCGTGCCCACGCCGGTCCGGAGACCTGGTGCCGTGGGCGGTCCGGAGACCCGGAGGTCCGGAGACCATGGATGGAAATGCAGAGCATCTGCAACTTCCTTTGCAGAGCCTTTTTGGAAAGGGCAATGCAGGGTGGGTGGGTGGGTTTCAAATGAAACAGATCAAGTTTGGGTCAAGGCTAGGAGCAAAACGGCCACCGCGGAAGTAGATTCACAACATGCCCTAAACACAAGGGACAAGAAAACCCTAAGCGTTAAGGCATGTTGCACTGCTCCTATCTTGGACCCAAACCAGACCACCCAAAAGAACAAAGCAAGTCCGAAGCGGCCGCAGTTCTTTTAACCGGGATTGCTGAAAGTAGCACTGCTTCCAGGGCACGGATGCGGGAGGTGCGTTGACCCCAGGCAACCCCGGTATAAGCGAGCCAGCTGGGCCGCCGGCCTCATCACCCCCCCTTCAGAGTGGGGTTGTACCTGGCAGGGCAAATGTCGCACGACATTGCATTTACATGCTTATGAGCATTTGCTGTTCTGGGACTGCTCATTTTCGCCAAAGCGGCTTGCTGTGAAGCTGCTGACAGATGCAGCCAGATATTCTGGTTGCCAGGGCGGTGTCGGGTCGCGACGCCTGTTGGAAGGCAGCAAGGCTTGTCTACACGCAGCTGGCAGCAGCTGCAGGGCGCATCAATCGGACACAGCTGGATGCCTCTGCCTGACAGCGCAAGGCCTGCGGGGCTGAAGCGTACGTGACTTTCTGGGCGATGGCTGAATCGGGCTAGCCGACCTCTGCTTAGGTCGTCTGCCCAATCATTGTTTCTGCCTGGAACATGTGTGGGCTGCAGCAACACATTGCGTGCACGCGCCCAGAGCTGCACGAAGAGTTGCAGCGGCCAAGAAGTCGTGAACAACTTATTTCAGGGGGATTAAATCATAGATGCAACCAGCATCAAACAGGTCGGCGCACAGCGAAGCTTTGCATACAGAATAAAATCAAATGTGTGGACTCAGCGCATCACACTAAGATCTTTTTCCACCGGACGCAAGGGGGATTGTTCAAGTCACCCCGCGCTTCGCGTCAAGGTACTGTTCTGAGGCACATGCCTCACGAATCACCCCCACCCCTGCATTAGGGAGGGAGCGAAGCTGGGTGGGCAAAAATGCAGGGTGTACCAACGTCGCGCTTTCATGGCGAGCGCGACAGTACCCTCCCAAACACCCTAGCCAACGCAACGGGAATAAAAACAATTTTCAATCCAAGTGAGAAATGCATGATTGCACAAGTAAAGCACAAGCGCAACTCATGCAAGTCAAAAGGATGAGACAGCAACGGTCCAAAAATAGGACCAAGCGAGGGTTCACCAAAACACATGGAGACCAAACGCAATCCACCCTATACAATAAGGCGCTATTTTGCTACGGGAGAGATCTTGCTTATTTCAGGGGGATTAAATCATAGATGCAACCAGCATCAAACAGGTCGGCGCACAGCGAAGCTTTGCATACAGAATAAAATCAAATGTGTGGACTCAGCGCATCACACTAAGATCTTTTTCCACCGGATGCAAGGGGGATTGTTCAAGTCACCCCGCGCTTCGCGTCAAGGTACTGTTCTGAGGCACATGCCTCACGAATCACCCCCTGCTCCTGAACTCTGAGAGCATGTGGCTCAGATCTCTCAAGTCGATGGAAACTGCTTCTCCAAGGCCGCTGCACGAAGTATTTCGCGAGGGTTCATCCGCTGGGTTCGAAGCCGTGTTGACTCTTTCAAACCAGACGATTCACCCCAAACTGTCCACAAAAGCGTCAAAGCAATGCACTATGTCGGCACCTGTAGAGTTTCGGCTGACACCCGAAATCATGGCTCTCAGAGAGCCGTTGTTGTCCGTGAAAAGGATGACATGTTTGTGTCTGAGATGATTAGCCCAGACCTTAACACCCGCAAGCATGGCTAGGCATTCAAGCTCAAAAATGGGGTTCTTGCTTCCCTCTGTAGTCACTGCGCAAACTTCTGCTGCTGTGAGCATCAAAGAAAAATGTTGCTGCACATTGGTCGTCT